TTCCTTAATCCAATTGTCCATTGGTGAGTGTCCTCTAATGGAGAGGGGGCTCAAACCCCAAGTTGCTTTGGGTATGAAAGAGGCATTACACTGTTGGTAATGAACCCCCTAAGGGATTAAACCATTAGGTGTAGCATCTCTATTTCATATTTAGGCAAATAAGTGGTTTGAAATCACTTTCAAAGCAAATCAAAAGTAAAGAATTGAGGGGGATTGCAGAGGTGATCAAGTGCTGGAAATGAATGATAAAAAGCACTAAAACATGCAACCAACTCAAACCAATGAGAATTAAAGCGTTAAAACGCTAAGCTAGTGAAGGAATTGACACTACAACCGTGCCATGCAAGGCTCAAATGAAACAAATGACCAAAAATAGAGGCAAAACAGCCCTAATTATAGCCTAAATCATGCTGGACTCAAGGCACGAAATTCCAAAACATTAAGCTAATGCATGGGGTTGCACTACAACTATGAAAAATAAGACTCAAACAAACTAACCAGCCCAAAACAAAGCTAAAACAGGTTATTTCAGAGACTAAAACATGCTGAACTTAAGCTAAGTTAGGCTAAAAAAACATGCTAACATGTAAAGTTAACTAGCTGAACTTAAGCTAAGTTAGGCTAAAAAAACATGCTAACATGTAAAGTTAACTAGACATGCAAGCAAGACACAAGGAGGGGAGGCTAACCCCTCCAATTTTGGACTTCAAAATAAGTTTTTTACCATTGAAAAACCTCTGAAATTCAGTGTTTAAAAGGCCCAAAAAAGTTGATTTGAAAGTGATGAATAAAGGCATAAAAGCTTAGCAAACTAGTAAGCAAGAAGGGTAAACCACCCCCCACTTGAAAATGGCCTCAAACTAGCATTTTTAGGTCATAAAAACAGAGGTTTTTATAGTTCAAAACCAACCTCAAAACAGTTTAAAAAGAGGAGGGGAGGCTAACCCCTCCAATTTTGGACTTCAAAATAAGTTTTTTATCACTGAAAAACCTCTGAAATTCAGTGTTTAAAAGGCCCAAAAAAGTTGATTTGAAAGTGATGAATAAAGGCACAAAAGCTTAGCAAACTAGTAAGCAAGAAGGGTGAACCACCCCTCACTTGAAAATGGCCTCAAACTAACATTTTTAGGTCATAAAAACAGAGGTTTTTATAGTTCAAAACCAGCCTCAAAACAGTTTAAAAAGATGAGAAAACAAGTATACTAAACAAGTGAACAAAGCACGTAAACTACCTCTTGAAGCAAAGAGCAACTCTAGGCACAAACCCAAGCTAAAACCACTTGCTAGAGCTCAAAAAAAGTCTCAAGAAACCTTAGCTCAAAGAGAAGTAACTTTGATCAAGGTAGTGTATGCAAAAATGTAGAGAAAACTAGCTACAAAGCACAAAATTGTAAGAGAGAGAGAGAATTTTGTTCCAAAATTGCTAACCTCCCAAAATGGGGGAGGAACCCCCCTATATATAGAAAAAAAACACCCTTTGAGCTTAGAAACATCCCACCATACATAAGTGTAAGGAGATGCAGCTCATTGTGCCAACAGCTGGCACAGCTGTCAACAAATATCTGGAAAAAGGCATTAGTGGCCGTCGGCCACACCGACCACACCTCTGGCCGACAATCATTATCCATGGCCGATAGCCTATGGTGGTGGCTGACAGGTCACCAAAAGGTTTCAGGCAACAAAAACCAAGGTTTTGGTCCAAAACAAGGCATAAAACAGATAAGGTTTCAAGGTTCAAAGGCAAGGCACTCCACCGAGGACTTTGAGCACTTAAAACGAACACATGCAATCATAATCATCGAGTGCACAAGCGATGACGTCCAAGTCTTGAGGATAGTAAAAAAAGAGGTGTCTACAAATATGCATATACAATGTCCGTGATTTAAACTCATTTACAACTCTTTTCCAAAACTACGCTATCCCAAGCTTCATGTCTCAATTCATTAATCATGTCTATTTCATTCAATCAACCAAACTAAGGATACAACTCATTGGGTCTCAAATCCATATAGTTATCATACAAACACATCTATTTGCCATTTTACGGAAATTTAGTCTGCCGGAATCGGCACCCATGCATACGCGTGGTTTTTGAGACTTTCACTTGGACACACAGGCCAACTTAATTTACTAGAGTCCATTCCCTTTCTCCTCTCAAACATAGAGTACATCCCCTTTTCTCCTCCCACACATCATACATATACAATGTATTAAAACACAGTCATATTCAATAACAACCAATAAGAGATTAATTTCAACTCACCTAATCCTCATGCAATTTCTACAACAATCATAGATATCCTCAACCGATAGCCCAAAACAGTTATTTCTAAATAGATAAATTATCCAATTTCCATAGGTGAGAGGTAATACATATTCAACTCCACCATTGATATAAACGTTCCTCCAATTTCATATTTTTAATACCAGTTTTATTTATTTATACAAAATAACTATTTGAAATATTTTAGGGCAAAACTCTATTTTCTTCCAAAACCTATCCCGAGTATCAAATCAACATATTTATCACAACACAACCTCACATCTAATCCCATAACCAATTTCAACTCATACATTTGGAAACTCATCTTTTGATTTTAAACCAAAACCCTAGGTTTGTTCAAAATCACCTCAAGTTCTAATATTTCTTACACATCAACAAATAACTATGTTAAAATTCATAGAAGAATGTAGAAAATCCCTACCTCGAAGCGAGAGATCAAGGAGAGAGTGGAGAAATCATAAATGAACCGAAACCACTTTTGTTTGAATGAAAAGAGAGCTCACGGTGTGCTTTACCTTTTTAACAAAGGGAGTAGGGTAGAGAAACCACTAGATCTAGATGAAAATGTAGAGAGAAGGTAGATTTTAGAGAGAGAGGGCCTCAACTTTAGGGTTTTAAGTGAAAAAATATGAAAAAGTGATGTAAAATGTCACTTTCTCGAACTGATATATGCACAGTCCTCTTGAGCGCAAGAAGTGTCGCTTGAGCGCAGAATGCACACTTCCAGTAGTTTTGTAGATAACAAACCAACGCTCGAGCGCAAGAAAAGCCGCTCAAGCTAAGACCGTTCGAGCGCAGAAAGCACCGCTCGAGCGTAGAATACACTCTCCCAGTAGTTTTGTAGACCTGAAAAAGTACCGAGAGTTTGCAAAGCCCGCTCGAGAGCAAAAAGTGACGCTTAAGCGGAGGAGCAAAATCCTAGACAACAAAAGTTTGAAAACTAAGCAACCAACCTGTTCCAAATGCAACCACAACAACCTAATAGCCAAATTTAAAGAAATACAAAGGAAGCAAGATATGACTAACAATACGAAACCATGAAATCCCGAGTCCAGAATACAATAAGGGTCAGGTCAAAACCGAAATCACTATAAGTAAAATTTACTTGATTAACTAAAGTCAAGATGGTCAAAGCCTTCTAAGAAATGTGGGTCCCTTCGAAATTGTGGCACTTAACCCATTTCAAAATATGGTCGACACCAAGATACAATTGTCAACTGTTTTGACAGTTGAGTCGGACAATTGAATCAACCCAGAGAAGCTGGTCCCTTAAGGACACTTGTGAAAATTTTTTACGAAGTTGGAAATTGGGTTGAAATTTGAATTCAAAATACAAAATTGTACAGATTCATCATTTTCTAGAAATTTAAATTAATTAAATGCTAATTTAATGGGGTTACTAAAATTAACATCCCTCCCTTGAGCCCATAAATAGAGGCTCTTATTATTGAGAAGGGGACCTTTTGGCCAATTATCTGCCAAGGCTCTCAAGTACCTTTTGGCCAAGAGTTCTCAAGTACTCTTTTTGTCAAATTTTTTTCTTAAAGTTAAAAATCTTCAAAAACTCTCAATACTTTCTTGAAGAATCATCAAGCATTTCAACTACATGTTGATCCTTCCACGTTCTCTAATATCAAGTACGCCCTACGCATCAAGGCTCTCAAAGATACAACTTCAAGTTCTTATTTTAGAGATTATTTTGAAGTTTGGACTGAGATCAAGCTATTCAAGCCCCTCAATAAAGTCTCTTTTCCCTCAAGCTTCTCAGTTTGAAGACTTAAAGAAATCCATCAATTGGTTTGATTCAACAAGCTTTCTGTAGTTGTTGGGTTGCAGCCCTTTTCCGAGATCAAATCAGAGGATTTGTTCTTTTGTAATAGGATAGATCATATAGGATTGTATCTATGCCTTTTAATTAATAAAATCGAATATTTGTGCTACGTTTTTGTGCCTTTGTTGCAGGACCTGGAATTTATGTGTATAATAGTGGCACTTGTGATATTAGAGAGGTTGCTAGAAGTCATTATGATAGCATACTTCCATAAGATAATTAAGCTTTTAGGTCCAATTCTTTCGTGGCTCTTAAGTGTCTTACTGAAGTATGGGAAACTGTGATATATTTTTAAATTTGTCAGTTTTTTCCAGCATAAGAGATGCCTTCTTTACTTGCTGAACAGATCATTGAATCTACTGTATAGTGCTTTGTTAGGTTTTTATTCTTGGCAACCCCGTTTGACAATACTCCTTTCAGTTGTATTTATTTTTCGCATTTTTATTTCAGTGAGGTTATGAGTTTTTAGATGCGAATCCAACCCGAATTGTGCCTTGCAGAGAAGTTTGTGGTGTTAATTCTTTCATGTTTGCCACTTCGCTGACTAACCATTTTTAAAGTACCCGTGCTTTATAGGCTGTCTTCCTTGAAAATTTGGAATGTCGCACACTGAACATGCCCCAGAGGGCTACTTTTTTGAGACCAACACTTGTCTCTTTACGTGTTGAACATTAATCATCTGCTTGTTAATGCATGCAGGATGGTAGAGGACCAAACTATGGTGCAGATTTCATCAAATACAGAAATCCATATGCACCAGGATATTCTGCACCTGCAGTTCGTTGCCAGAGTCATGCATACAACACTGTATCTGGATCTAAAAGGTCCCATGCAGATATGGTAGCATTCTTTTTCATTCACTAGTTTGTAATTATCCATTTTCTGTTTTGATCATGTGAAATGGTTGCTTTCCAGGAGCCGCATGCTGGGTATATTGATCCTGTTGCTCGTAAGCAAAGCCCAAGTTTTTCAGGGTACCTGGAACCTACTGTTGGAATGCAGTATCAACCTCATGCAGGACACCTTGAAAGTGTTGTTGGGACACAAAGCCAACCTCACAGAGGATACCATGTACCTGCTGTAGGAAATCACAGCATATCTAGTGCAGGATACCTTGAACCTACTCTTGGGACACGTGGCCAACCTCATGCTGGATACCTTGAGCCTGCTATTGGAAGACAAAGTCAATCTCATGCAGCATATTTTGAATGGTCTGTTGGGAAACACAGTCACAATCCATATGACGTTGCACTGAGAAGGTTTTTTCCGTTTTCATGTTCCGCTTTGAGTTGCAATTTTATTAATTTGATCAATATACTTGTCACTTGTCTTGTAGACAGAGCTGGCGGACATGATCTCCGTGGCAGTGGTTACTCTGCTTATGGGGCAGGTAATCCATTTGTCACTTGACTTATTTGTTCAGGCCTCAAAAGCTGCCAAAAGAAGTACATATATAAATAAAAACCAAAAGAAAATAAAACAAAGGAAAAAAGAATCTGATCCCAAGTTTCTTGATGGATGTCAAATTTTAATGCAGTTGGAAGTACCATAATGGTTTTTTTTCTTTATTATGGTCGTCAAACAGTAAGTAGTTTGCTTGCAGCGATTTTTGTGGGGAGTGTGAATGATGTGGTAAGATTTGAATTACCTGAAATTATTACTTTTGCCTAAAGCATAAGCTTGCCTGTTGGAACTTTTTAAAAATTGGAGGGAATACTAAAAATTAGGGGTTACTGTGGAAGAACCAGAAATTTATCTTCTACTGTTATAATTCTTTATAATTTTGTTTAAAATGATGCCTAATTGGGAAGTAGATATGTAATAATGTAAGAAAATAGACAAAACCAATCACTTTGTATTCATTATGAGATTACATCCAAAGCACATGGACCCGAGTTTTCACAAGAAATTTTGGTCACCAGGATTTGAATTTCAAGTTTGAATCCACATCTACATCTACGGACAGGTATGACTAATCTGTCGAGGCAAAAGGGCTCACGTCCTTGATTGTGGGCTCTTGGTGATTTGAGCTGATCTTGATGAGTATTTACAAGTTGGAAGTTGTGGTTGGACGAAACAATTGTTTAGTGTAGCAAGGGTGATGGACCGGTTAAATTATTAGATCTTTGATCCCCGTCTTGGTTGATACTTGATCTAACATTGTTGTCTTCTATGAAGCACGGGTGCGGATGCGGGATCCCCGTCTTGGTTGATACTTGATCTAACATTGATGTCTTCCATAAAGCACGGGTGCGGATGCGGATACGGATACTGGTATGGATACAACAAGGGGTACGTTGATACGGTAAATTCTTAAAAAAATAGGGTACAGGTATGGCTGGGGTATGTCAATTTTATTTTATTTTATTTTAAATTTATAGCTAAACATCTAACATACAAATCAAAATTTTAATATCAAAATTAAAAAGAGAACAGCTTGTTTAAAAAGTTATATAATTCATTCTTTTCCTTTTTTGATTGTCTAAAACAGGATGCAAAATAGAGTAAAATCGTAACTCATGAGTAAAGGGTGTTGGAAATAAATTACTTAATATTTTCAAAATTGAAAGAATAATAATAAAGGCTATAATAAATTTTAGCAATTGCCAAAAAACAAAAAAATCACCTTGCCGTACCCTGCCGTACCCATGTCGTACTCATAACGTACCCAAATGTATTTGCTATACTTGGCATGAAGTTGGCGTACCTGGTATGCGTATCTACACTCGGTAAATACTCGATACTTGGACGGTACCATTTTTAAAGTACCCGTGCTTCATAGGCTGTCTTCCTTGAAAATCAGGAATGTCGCACACTGAACATGCCCCAGAGGGCTACTTTTTTTAGACCAACACTTGTCTCTTTACGTGTTGAACATTAATCATCTGCTTGTTAATGCATGCAGGATGGTAGCAGTGGAGCACAATTACCTCAACGGCCCAACGGGCATACTACTAAAAGATAGAGAGAGATGATATTTCAAGAATTTCTCTCTCTCTTTATAGTTGCTATTACCTTCAAAACCAACTTTCTAAATCCCGTCTTTTGTTTGTGTTTGACAATCTGTGGTTCCATGGACTTATATACCAAACCTATGAATGGCTCTCTCTCTATCTCTCTGCCTGCCCTTTTTGTTTACACTAGCAAGTTGGTCTTTGAGCTGTGATAATAACATAATTAAAAATAAAATATTATTCACTGATATGCAAACTATAGAATCCAGAACTAATAAGACATGCAAGTAAATTTCAAGAAAATTTCCTGTGAAAAGATTAGTGTTATGGGAATAGAAGTCCAATGCAAGTCTACTTTCTGGAAGGTCCTAACCTGCGTTGATCTTTTTTTGTTTTTTGATCAGCAAAAAGACGACTTTATTGATGGAATAAAACCAGTACATAGTACAAAGCGAATTACATCAATAAAGACAAGAGGGAGGTGCAAAGGCATCACAATGGGCTAGATCATCCCAACGAGGTTGGCACCAACTAGCTCATCCTATCATTTGCTAGCACCCCTAGAGTTGGTGAGAGACCAACGAGAAACAACCAAAATACAAAAAGGACACTGCAAGCACCCAATCCCAGCATTACACTCTCGAACCTCTCTCTATTATCACCACTATTAACAGAGCTCCTTAAGCAACCAACAGAATTTTGTTCTACCTGAAACAATCCTAGGACTCACACACCAATTCAGACCATCACATTCCTTGAGTTGGCATAAGAAAGCCTCCTGCAGGACATAACAGCCATCCATACCCATCCACCTGCAAGACCACTCCCCAACTTACCCAAGACGGGCACACAACAACCAACCAACCAGAGCATACAGAGCACCACTAAGTTGCCAGCAGTAAGCACCAGTAGATAACAGCATACAATAATAGAACAAAACAGACAGCAGACAAGAAAACCCCAGGCAAACCATAACATACTTGATCAAAGCACCAGGCAAAACCATACCATTTCAGGCCACCAGCAGCAACCATCATAATAGAACAGAACAGACCCTTTAGATAATACAACCTTACATTCTCCTACCCAAACAAAATCTGATTTGCTCCAGGTTATGCAGAAAATCAGTTACAGAAAAAAGAAGATCTGAGGACGTGGATTTTAACCAAATTGCAAGCCTAACAATGATAACTTCAAGAAGTTCTTCCATGTTAGGTTGAGTATCTTGGAAGATGCACTCGTTCCGGTGCTTCCAAATGGACCAGAGAGCCACCAAGGGGATAGCATTTCAATTTTTTTTTTCAGCTTTCATGACCTTGCTTCCAACCCATCACTGCAGTAAGCCATCAGCAGTTTGAGGCACTACCCAAAGGGCTCCCCACCATTGCAGGAGACCAGTCCATACTCTCCAGATCGAAGGGCACCAGATAAGCACATGTTCAACTGTTTCTTGTTCAGCTTTGCAAAAAATACATACAGTGGCAGCACTATCCTCCAGCACACCAATTCTGTGCAAGAACACTGAAGTTTTTACCTTATGCTTCCATGCGAGCCATCCAAAAAATTGAACTTTAGGTGGAAGGTACTTGATCCACACTAATCTGCTAAAGTTATTGACTTCACCATGCTCAAAATCAGTATGCTTGTATAAGGTTGAGACAAAAGATTGACCAGATTTGGAAGCTAACCACAAAACTCTGTCTTTCGCAAGCAGATTCAAGACAGGACCAGGTCTGGTATAGAGGTTCAGATTGAGGAGTTCTTCTTGTTCCCATTGAAATAAGGCCCTCCTGAAGCTAATCACCCAATTTTCAGAGTTTCCCCTTTTATGAGCATAATCCCTGAGAGTCCCATCCTTCTCATTTGACAACCTGAACAATCTAGAGATTCTTTGAGGCTAGCTCCACCAGTCCAGCAATCATGCCAGAAGGACACTCTACAACCATTACCCACTCTAATCTGAAGGTTATTAATATAAAATTGCAGGAGGCTGACATTTTGATTTGCTGCCCCCAATATATCACCCCAAATCTTGGATACTCTACCTCCTGAATGAATATCTGGACGCCAATGTCCACCTTCAGCTTTGTATTTGCAGACTAACACCTGCTTCCACAGAGCTTGTTCCTCATTGGCATACCTCCACCACCACTTCATTAATAAACAAACATTCATGTCTCTGATTCTTCTAACACCCAATCCCCCTTGCGTAGTACTTTTAGTTACCTCATCCCATCTCACTAGATGAACTTTTCTCTTTAGTTCAACTCCACCCCACAGGAATGAAGCTTGTAACTTTTCAATTTCTTTTGCTATCCCTTCTGGAATTTTGAACAGAGAGAGGTAGTACACCGGCAGACTAGATAACACTGATTTAATTAGTGTTAATCTTCCTGCAAAGGAGAGAATTCTCCTCTTCCAACCAGCAAGCCTATGCTTTATCCTATCCAAGACAGGCTTCCAGAACACCTTTCTATGGGGGCTTGCTCCCAATGGCAACCCCAGATACTCTTAGTGATATTTGCCTTTGATTAACGCTCATCTATAAATACTCTTTCATGTCAACAACATATCATTCACAATTCACAAAGACAATACAAACAAGATCTAGGCAAAGCATAACACCTGAAAATGCCCGAGGCCTTATGCCCAGGTAAAGATTAGGTTTTGCTAAGGATTTTGTTTAAATCATGTTGACATGCCCTTTTTTTTCTTTTTTTTTTTCCCTATAAAAATGTACTTATGAAGTTTAATTCTCTACAGCCCCAACTCCCTAGCTCTCATCAGTAACATGTTCAAACCTTCTGCAGCCAAGTTAAAAAGGAAGGGGGATAGTGGGTCCCCTTGTCTGAGACCTTTTTCAGGACTGAACTCCTTATTTGGTGAGCCATTAACGAGGATGGAGATTCTAGCTAAAGAGAGACAACTTTTTATCCAAGAGATCCACTTCGCTCCAAAGCCAAAGCTAGATAGCATTGAGAATAGGAATTCCCAGTTGAGTGAATCATAAGCCTTCTCAAAATCAATCTTGAGAATTAGTCCTTTTCTCTTGGTTTTTTTCCACCCATCCACTATTTCATTTGCAATCAAAGCCCCATCAAGTATGTTTCTACCTCCTAGGAATGCTGATTGTGCTTCACCAATTACATCTGACATGACTTTTTTTAGTCTACTAGCAAGAACCTTGGAAAGTATTTTATACACTGACCCTATAAGACTAATGGGTCTAAACTCACTTAAGTTGGCTGCATCAATTTTCTTAGGTATAAGGGTGATGAAAGAGCTGTTAAAGCCTTTAGCCAATCTGCCCCTGTCATGAAAATCTGTGAAAAAGAGCATCACAACTTCTTTGAGCACCTTCCAGAACTTCTGGAAAAATAGCAAGTTGAAACCATCTGGCCCCGGAGCTTTGTTGCCATTACAGTCCTTGACGGCTTCCCAAACCTCCACTGTTGAAAATTCTGACTCTAGGATATGAAATGAATCACTTTGCCTTAC